ATCCCTCCCTCAAAGCCCTCACCGAGCGCGTCCTCGGCGTACAGGTTCAGCACGCCGAGCACGATTCTGTAGAGGATGCGCGAGCCACTATGCGTCTCTATACTTCCGTCAAACGCATCTGGGAGGCCCAAATCAAGGCCATCCAGGCGGGCAAAAGTCCGAAGGATATTAAGAAGTTGGCTGCACACCTGCACATTCCACCAGCGCCCTCAGAGGTGGACGCGAACCAGATTAAAACGACATCCCTGGCAAAGATTGCTTTTGATGTCACCTCCGAATTTTATGTAAGTTGTCCTACAGACATCATTTTGCACTTTAATCTGTTGATTATTATTATTATTATTATTATTATTATTATTATTATTAAAGACCTTTCATTGTTAACCAAGTTATGCAGCTTTTGGTAGCGAGGTCAAACCTTTGGTTTTGCAATTGCCAGTGGCCCCATAGCATGCACCGCAAATGCTTCACACTAATTACGCCTCCGAATTGTCTTTTCTTTATTTTCGCACATTCCACAGTCTGGTATCTCCGCGAACGGGACCAGTTCGCGGGACGCTCGGAAGCCTACGCCTTACCAGAACTCTGACCGTTTAACTACTTCCATGCATCAAGCTAAACCCCGCGTAGATGGACAAGGTCGTAAATGCAGCAAAAACCGCGCCCGTTTTCTAGAAAAAAGAAAGAAATTACGCAAAAACAAAATGTTCGCCTCCTCCTCTTCTTTTCTGTCATAGTCCCACACCCGGATCCTTCTTGTACAGTTCAGAATAATAAAAAAATCCTGTTCCACTCGGTGTGTCCATAATCTGTTTTTTTTTCGGAAGTAACAGGGTTAACTGATATTAGTGATCAAAGGTTGATAGCACCTCTTCGGTTCACGATTTCGCCTACAACTTAAGCGTTTTAATTGCTCCTCTGATGATTTTGTGTACGGTGGTTTTCTAGATGGTAAATTATTAGTATATTGAGAAAATCCTATGGAGGAATACTCTTGGTGATCTGTCGGCTGTAAAGTGCTATCTCTGTCTGACGCATACAGACACGCACACATGGGCTATAGTCGTTCGTCTGTGACGCTCTCCTCGTTTTTGGCTTATCCCTACACCCGCGAGGCTGTGTGATTTTTGACAAGGCAGCGCAATCCAAAACGGCCAACCACTTCATGGCTGATAAGGACATTCCTTCAATCAGGATACTCGGACGCCTGCTTCGGTAAGGCGCACGTCTATCGTCCAGCTACCAACATACTCCAGCATATTGTTTCTCTGTTATGTCCCGGAGGTGCTTCTTTCTGTCTTTGCGTCTAACTTTCCTGATGTCAGCTTAGTAGTTGTTAGGATCTGTCCATGACCTTTACACATGAAACATATTATGGTCTCTCCGACCGAGTCAGACTTGGCCAATCTCTCTGACGGTTTGGAGGGCGGCTTCTGAATTTCGTCGAAGGGGCTGTAAAAGTTAGTACTGCAATTCGAAGTGCTACAGACTATGAAAGTATGATGCCTTCTCCGATTTTACTGAGAGACGGCAAAGTTTGCACCTTCTCCAAGTGGAATCTTCAGTCAGGGACGATGCAGTAGTTACGATGGTAACTATGAAAGGCAACGTAAAAGAACCAGGCCAGGTCGACAGGAGACCAGGTGCAGAAAAAAGCCGACCCCTACCTGACTCGCGGATAACAGGCTTTAGATGGACAAATTTGAATCATGTGCGGGTACTCAAGGCTCTCCAGATCAGTGATCATGTAACAAGGAGAGGATCGGGATCCAAAAGTTAGGCGGAGATAAGGCGTCTTCCCCGAGTCTCAGACTAGCTCGAAGAACATGAGCTTGACAATACCAAAGTACCCCAATCACTTTGTCACCGGAATGTAATATTATTTCCCCTGCTCAATTTTTCGAAGTGCCGGATTCGATTCGAGTCAGAAATGTTGTTGAAAATTGGACGGGATATTAATTGACGGATAGAGAATGTTCCTATCAGTTTTAGAGCCCCACTTGGATCGTGTTTTGCAGACTCATGGTCTCTCATCCAGCAAAACTTTGCCAGTCTGCCAGTGGTTATCTTCATGTACGATGGGATATCAGGTTACATTAGTGGTCTTCATGGAACTTAAACCTAAAGGAATATGTACGCCCAATCTGCCGAAAGTTGGATTAGTTAGGTAGTTTATGCTCCGTCACCGAATCTGGATGTGGAGGGCCTTGGCGCGCAGCCGCATCTGATAATGCTGCTTTTTGGTCTGTCATCTACGGCTGTGAGCGCCATCGGTTGCTTTTCCTAAGCGATCTAATCGAAAGTTTAAAAATAGCTCTTCTCCTCTATCTCTCGAAAGCTTGCGGCATTCGAAGTCTAAAATTCTTATTCCCTGGCTATAAAAAAGCCCCAATGTTGTTTGAATTATTAAAAAATAGTGTTCATGAAGAACTATTGCTCTTCGTCGAGGAAGACTAGCAACTCCTGAACGAAAATCCG